ACTCGAGGAACTTTAAGGATCACAGAACGGGGAATAATACGAACACAATAGCGACCTAATGCAGCAGGCTGAAACGTAAGCTCCACGAAGGAGGATCTGACGTGGATCGAGCAATAGGGCAACCTATGGATTGAGTACAATACCGCCCACGATTCGGTCTGAATGCAATGGACCTGAAGCAAACATGGGAACTATTTTTGTTCCGTATAGTTCAGCCTTACCGCATTAGGCGTCACTTTTTAAGTTTTTTTATGAATTTGATTGTAATCAAGGGTCCTATTATGTGTTGTACGGGTATTCTACCGGAACTCGAAGCGTGCCATCCTGTAGTATAGAACGTCGGCAAAAGTATTTGCCGAGTACTAAATGTTTCCGTTTGGGGAGTGAAATGTGCGCAAGAAAAGTAAACGGATATAAAATTGCTGCAGAAATAATAAATCGGTCGCATGACAACTAAACGAGTCAAGACAGAAACTGTAACTACTTGATATAGAACTTAGGCAAATATTTTTGTCGATTACTACGCGAGTATCGGCGCAGTGCAATGTCGGCGCTATTGGTCTCCCCAAGGCGCATCTTCGCAGAGAAATGGTCCGGGATGAGGGGTGGTTTCACTAATACAGTGGTCTCACTGGCGACTTTAGACGATATGGATCGCGACGACCAAGTCAAGGCCTCACTAATGCACTAAACAAAACCAACGCTACTTGCGCGTCTATGTGGGCCTATTGTTGAGCTTATTGCCGTTTCTTTCAATACACAGACGATGGATGCTGAGGATATGCAGAAGGAGACGAAGATTACACCACTGTCAAACCTGCCATCTTACACAACATTCCCGCGTACTTGTAAGAATGTTACACGATGCGAGTAACCGTCGGTCGCTACAGGCACCCGTTTTCCACACTCAGGAACATATCTAATCACATGCGTTCTCTAATTATGGTCCAAATTGTAATCTAATTCACCACTACTAGTATGCTAGATTAAATTGGGTTAGCTTAGTGCTAGGCTCCTTTAGCATGTTTGACACCGATAACGACACAGATTGTTGCCCCCATTATGGCCTGCAAGCAAACAGGACGCCGCTCACCTTGCCACTGCCGCTGACATTAATCTGGTTTTCCCCCAGCTACGCAAACAAGACCTCGAGGCTCTCGTTGATTAGCCTACACTGATTGCTAATGGAATTCACTCATCCCGCTGTGCCTTAAAGCGCAATCTCGACTCCCGCCAACAGCCACACAACAGCAAGCAGTCTGGGGTATGACTGGCTGATGACCTACTGCCGCTGACTTTTATCTGGCTTTCCCCATCATGCTAACACAGTCAAGACCTCAAGGCTCTGGACGATTAATGTTCACTGATTGCTAACGGAACGCACTCATCCTGCTATGTCTTGTGATTCATTTATCGGGCCCTGACAGCAGCTGCACGGCGTCTACTAGCCTTGAGTACGACTGGCTGATGAGGGTCAAGAACCCAGAAATGGCCATTCCAGTCTGCCTTGTCTTTGTCGGCAATGTTATCTACTTCAGGGCTCCTTTAGCAGTAGGCATGTCCCAGAGTACTTCGCAAAAAGCACATCTGAAGGGCATATGTGGCTCTGGAGTCGGCATGAGATCTGTCCAGAAATTGAGCTGTGAATGTACAAGGCCAGTTTCAGGACAGTCCTTTTGTGCAAATGCTGAAAATAGCCTGTGGGCTCAGAAGACCTCACTCATGTGGATGCGTTCGATCGAACTCAGTTTCAACGAACGAACGAACGAACGAATGCACAGCCGCTCACGAAAAGAATCAGCCAACTGTGGCCGCGCGCCACTCACTCCGACCCGACGATAACACCGTCTAATACGTAATTTCTTTCTATGAAACCGACCACAGGTGTTGACGACGTCGAAGTGGCCGACCGTAAACGTGGGTAGGCATAGTGAGAGCGCACTTGAGAGGCATCACTGGCCCCGTGGTCTTAGGGTTTGCGTGGCTGACATGCCAACTGAGTCAGGTCCGCTAGGAAGAATACCTTATACAGAATTCAATGGGGAGGGGGGGATCATTCTTAATAAACGTCGTGACATGGACAAACATGGTACTTACCCCTTTTCCTGGAAGACCTTCTTGGCGGACCTCGGTGCAAGCAAATAAGGGCGAACGCCGCGACGGCGTAGAAAATAAACATCTAAATTGTGCAAACAGGAAAAAGGATGAGGAAGAAAGTTTAGCTTGAGAGCTGGCAGATAAAAAGGAAATAAAAGCAAGGCCCACCTGGAGAGCAATAAACGGCAAGTTGACGAATCGACGAGAAGTGGCAGCCTCTCCGTACCAACAAGCTACCGAAAGGAATACGAAAGCCATAAATGCCAACAAGAGCGATAACCGACGGGGCAGACCACTCCTAGAACCAAAAAAACACCTTACAATAGCCCGCTTTGAATGCAGTCCAAATGTCTCAAAAAGGAAGAAGCTACTCGGAGTTACCAAAGGATATAAAAATAAACCGAAATGTCCTGAGAGTGATTACGAGCAGTGATCTCACCTTCAGAGTCATACGAAGCGATTCTACTGCTACTGGTGACAGTATCACTTACCTACCGGGCGTGAACGCTCGTTCGGGTGTCTTACAATAACGCGTGTAAGCTCATATTCCCATCTGTTATGCTAATGGCAATAATAAGATGCACGTCGGCTATTTATAGAATTATAGGAATCTATTACTAGATTATACTATCCGCTGGACTTAGTAGGTATGATTACCAGAACTTGATATCTTAGTAGTGGCATATTACCTCTAGCAGCAGTATCCTAGGCCAAACTTAGTAAAATGATCACAGCTTTTCGTTGACAGAGGTGAGAGGGCGGAAACCAAGGAAAGCCCTAATGTGCTCCGGGCTTGTATAAAGGCATTAATTCGTCAAGAGCACGAACCAAAGAAGAAGATGATCGGCAAACCTCTCTTAAATGCATGAAATGATCGTATCTAAGCCGACAAGAAAGATATGAGGGTTCAAGCTCGACACCAAAAAGAATAGAATTTTAATAACTTAGGTCCTAATCGTTAGCTTACTTGAGCCGTATCAATGCTTCCAATCTTTTTAACAAAACGTAAAGTAGCTGAAGGTAAAGAAGCATAAACGAACCACGTTTCCTCCTCCTGCACAGCCAAAAACTTGTATTTGTCAGAACTGACAGCCTGCGCCAAATGAACATCAACCAAGAAGCCTAACAACATGCCCCAGAGGTAGAGAGCAAAGTAACCCGGCAGGGAGACAAGACGCTCGGCGTTGCAAGCAGCAGAGAACTCCGGCGTGATTCTTCGTTGAGCAGGCTACTGCCTGGAGCGAGAAGTTGTTCCAGTCCAAACGTGGACAGCATCGCCTGATGACCTATAGTACAGGCTAACGATAGCAACCAGAGGACATTCATTGCGGCGAAGTTTGACAGGCGTGACAGCAGACCGCCTACGAGAAAACCAGCAAACTGTAGGGCAAAAAGAGGGTCAAGGTACTCATCTGAAAAGTGGTTCGAGATATAATAATGTGAAAAGTAGAAGAAAAGTAATAGCACAGCCCCTTCTGGTGTTCCAGATTTGCCTAGTCACATTCTGGGCGGAAATCATCGATAAAGCTTGATCAAGCAGACGGCCAGTTGGTGATTTATCACTGGATAGGGGGGATTTATTGGATATGGGACGCTAACTTTTGGAAGAATACAGGAGGTCAGCAAACGCACTGAAGGTACACTGGGCGCCTTTAGATGAAAATACAACATTTTTTCATAGAATATCTAACGGTTCACCTAAATTAAAATGGATAGTTTGGGCGACACATACGACGTGAAGACAGATGCAACGCTATAAATCACTTAATTTATATCCTTGAAGGTCACGAAATAATAATTCGAACAAGGCAAAGATCATGAGCCAAGCAGAACTTATTGACGTCATATAATTTCGCGACCTCTTATTAAACTGCAAAGATAGATTAGGTTTCCAATTAAGTATCGATCAAGATGGGTGAAATTTGATAGGTAGATAGAGTAGGAGCTATAAGTCTTAAATATGGGTGCATTAGAGGGAGTACAGGAGGCGGGGAGGTAGTTAACACAGCAAGGCAGTTCATGTTACGTTGAAAGACTGTGAATTGTGATTAAAGGGGGTCGGAGGGCAAAGGACAGGGCAACAGTCGGTCATAAGGGGGAAGGAGATATGAGAGGAAAGGAGTTTGCCGATCGTTACCACGGTAATGCGAGGTTGATCACATGATCCAGCTGCATGCAGAGCTCTGGTTTTTCTTCTCCATATTGCAGCGGTCTCTGCCAATCGCAGGATACGCCCAGTCGTGGCCCGATACACGAGCCGGAGTCCACTAGGGACTTCGTGATCGAACACTTGGGTATTTTATTTTCCGCCCTAAACAAACACGTCGACACATGTTCAGTTGACCGCGTTGCCAATTGCGCTTGCATGCGCCCGATGTATTTTCATCCACAACTACACGTAAACTCGCAAACGCAGTTTGATGTGGCGTGCATAGGCAGAACGTCTTTAGTTGGTCTAAATAAGAAAGCCGTTGTTGTGCTTATGTACAACAATTTCGAGGCGGTGTACGTTCTTTCAATCGTGCATCGACGCCTGCGGTTGATTACTTTGGGCACATTATCAGCTTTGAAAGAGAGGAGGATGCGCACTGGCCTCAATAAAGTAATTTGCTCGCGGGTCATCAAAGAATAATTCGTTGGAAAGGCGCATTGTCAATGTGCATCAGTGAATACTGCGTATGCAAATAAATAGGGCTAAAGGATCATATAAAATGCAAAAGATCAACGCATATTTCGACCCAAATGAAGTTCGGTGTATCAAATTCATTTGGTATGGTGAATTTATAAACAGGCAAATATTAACTTTCAATGCCGGACCATACTTACACGAAGAACAGCCATGGTGATAAAGAAATTCCAGCGCACACCGTACTCTGTCACGTGCTCCGGATAACCCAGCAGTTTGACTAGCACAGTGCGTGAAGCCCCCATGAGAACTAGAATGACCGTCGACATGATCACGGAGGACATGGAGGCGTAAGAGCGCGCAGAAGTGCGGCAGAAGTACACGAAGGGCACATTAGCGATGCCGCAGGAAACCGAGATCAGGCCCACACCTACGTCCATCAGCGAGACACCATGGGCCTCCGTCTTAGCCAAATGGCGCGGAAATAGCGGGAAATCCACGGCATATATGCATACACAGGTGTAAAGGAGGATATAGGCACGAAGGGCTCGGCGCCAAACGTACAGAGGCTCAGGAAATGGTGGGGGAAACTTCCCATTTCGAGCATGACCGTAGAGAAGGACCGCTGTTGTGCAGGCAATCACCGTCATTTCAAAGATGTAGTCGGAGAGTAATGTAACAGGCAGAACGAAGACTGCGATGACCAGCAGAAAGTCCCGTATGAGCGGCCTAGAGAGAGGGGCCATACAACAGTTTAATATAAAGTTGACGCATTCTCGTAGTTCACACGGGGAACTAAAAGTTGCGATGGAAAATCGAATCTTAGGGGCATGGTTGTAAAAAACTGACTTACGGTATCTTGGAGGTCACTCTTGGATAGAGGTGGTCGATGAGAACACGTAAGTATCCGAGGGCGCATGGTATAATCAGCAGACAAGTTAATTCCAAAATGCTACCTCCAGTCAGATTGCTGACGAACTGCAAATGGCGCGCAGTCTTTTCAGCGTCCATCGCGGAGCAGCGTGAGCAGGTCTATCGGTAACTGCGAATGCATAAGTTAAGCTGGAGTTAGGACTTAAAAGGCATAATGCGCAGAAGGACATCACAATTACAAGCATAAATATTTTGAGAAGAAGGATAATCGAACACTGGAATCATTATTTTATTAGCCTGAGGTTTCGGGCTCCTGCAGGAGCCGATCGTCAGAGATGGGAAAAGCAGCAATAAATGAGGTGGCTAGTTCTGGCGTGCGCACAAAACAGCTAAAATTTGAACGGGTAGAAAATCAATAACTGTGTGGTTTGGCTCAGGTTCGGGCTAATAAAATAATGATTCCAGTGTTCGATTATCCTTCTTCTTCTCAAAATATTCACGTTCCTGGGATACGAACATTCGCCTCAACAAGCATAAATGCCAACAGACACCGGATTTAGTCTAAGTTATTTAACGTGGTTAGTTGCGAAACAAGGTAATGAAAAAAAGCAAGAAATAGTCTTGGAATCTTCACCGTTAGTGGCTTTTCATTTATGGGACATAACATTTTATTTCTTAAAAATGCTTCTGACTACAAACCCAGAAGCCAGCATGAGCTGGTATGCAGAAACTATCTAGTGGAGGTCTTACTACAGTGCGGGTAAGCTGCACATAGCGATTGCCCTTTCGAAAGTGTTCGGACAAATGAAACTTGTGTAAGCATGCCAAAACTAGATAAACTGACGGCTGACATTTTTGAAGCACTGAAAGCTAAATTGGGTCGCCAGGAATCATATCAAGCTTAAATATCTTGATGACACCAAGACGTCTGTATTGGAATCGTATTCAGGACGACGCAGGGCATGTTACCAGACGCCATAGAGCAATTTCACTGTTAACAATAAAAGAGCTGACTATTCGGTAATGTGAGAAATAAAATTACCCTTATTCTTCTAGCAACTCAAAAGTTAGGAAACCGTAAACGGACGCTGGAAATAGCTCAAAAGTACACCTTACATTATAATTAAATCTAATGTAATAAAATTAAAAACATCACGCAAAAGATGCATGAAGCTAGTGCAGTCTCGGCCTTTTTGTACAAAACATACTGGTAACAGCAGTATCTACAAAGGTAAAGGACCATCAAAGAAACTGAAATTAATTAGATTTAGGTATGCATAATCTTAACTTCAAGCGTCGTGCGTTACAGGTCAAATGAGGGAATAAGTCACAGGTGGAGAGAGCAGTATACTTCAAGATTACAACAAAGTACTGTGAATTGTCAGGGACCTGTAGTAGTGCTGCTTACAGTCAGTTCCTTTCCTAAATGAGGACAGTAATCAGCACTGACTTCGGTTGTTCACTAATTTGTGCATAAAAGACGTGGTATGACAATTACTCATAGTTTACAATTAATAATAACTTTAAATCTAGGGTATTCATAAAAAACAAGAG